CATAGTTGAGGTATACCTATGATGAAAATTACAGGCCTCTCTCATCTTTTTAAGTGGGAGAACTTGCACAATTGGTGGCTGACTAAATACTTTTTTGCCCCACTGTAGCTGTTGAACAGGTACTGTACTACAATCACCACTGATCACTGTGGACTCCAAGTTAATATGGTTTGGATTGCATGCTCAGTTCTTTGATGTTATAAGTGTGGCAAGCTGTGTTGTGAATGGATAATAACAGAGTCTGTTATAAATAGCCCTTCTTGATCCGTTTAAATGTCCATCTTGTCTAAAGCTAGAATACTATATATTTTTTTCCTTTCCCCCAAATTGTAATAACCAAGACTGTAGTTGGAAGTGGAAGACTACATATTTCCATTGCAAATGGAAATAATTTTTAATAGGAAAAGTATCAAGAATTCAGTGGTGGATGCTAGAAGTATTGATTTACGCAAAATAGCCATTATTTTGGCAGTAACATTTTACTATTTGAACTAATCTATTCTTTCTCAGGCCTTCTAGAGTTGAACCACAAATGAGAAATGGGGATTAACTTCCCCTTGTTTGAAATGGAACCATAACTTTGTTTGTCTGAATACAGTTACAATTGTCCCTGCTATGGAGATGAATGAAGAATGAATGAAGTTTCCCTTCAAATCTTCTCTGTCAGTGTAGGGAGATCAAAGTGGGGAAATGGAACTAGAGGACCTGTCCCAGTCTCTGCCTAACAAATTAGATCTGACAAGGCTGAAGGAAGCTTTATTTTGAGATCAGAAAAAAATGTAGGCTTACCTCTCCCACTGTATTTAAATGTATTCATTCACTGTATTCATGAAGAATAACCTACTAAAATACAGTAAGTGGGTAGAGGGATCTTAGTTGATTTAAATAGTGGCTTAGCTGCATTTTTCTACTTTTCTAATGTTATACCAATCATTATTTCATTTTCTTTTCTGTAAGTTTTTGCTACCCACTCTGACTTAAGTAGCTACATTAAAAAAAAAAAAAAAACTCCTAAAACTAATATTGCTTAAAATAGGCATTATTTTTCTTCCTTTGGAGCCCAATTCTTTTCTTAGCATTTAGGTCAAAGTACTATAGCTTCTGAAGCTGTTTACACCCATGAAGTGAGACTTTTATCAGGTGATATATCAAATGAATCAGATTGGAATCTAGTCCTATAATTCTGGTTGTTTCTGATTTTCCCTTTTTGTAGTAATGCATTATTTGTCAGGCTTTAATATGCTGAAATGGTCTCATGACCCTAAATTTGTACTGCTGTGAATGGCATTGCCAAGCATCATGAATTATTAGTTGTAAAATATAGTATAACTTGTTTTAATCAAAATGTTTTCTATCTGGAATATTACATTTTCAAAACAGAAAGTTAACAGGCAGCTTGAAGTAAATTAAATGCTATCAGTGTGGAGCAGTTGAGAATATGTAACACCACAATGTTCAGACTTCACTTAAATCCAGAATCTATTCAGTTTTAATCATTAGGCTATAATTTGAAGCAGAGGTATGCAAGCTAAAATGATGGATTTACACAAAGCATAATAAGTTTGCTGAGAGGCAGTATATTTCCCACTTGGTCCTATTCAATCTCGTTAATGCAACAGCTTTTGACATAATTCAAATGAATTTATTCTCTCCACCCTCCCCAAATATTGGAGAAGTTAAAATATTTTTAAATTAGAATGATTTTATGCTAAGCATTTCTCCTAAGCTTTCATATCTCTTTTGGTAGAATAGGTTCAGCTTGCGAGAGATTATTTGCAAAATCCCAGGCTAACATTTTCTCCCTGAAACTGAGCACACTTTGATCACTCTGAATTAAATGAGGCTTTCAGAACTTTCAGCAAATTTTTAAAACCTACTTCTGATTTTTCCTTGTTTTGATTATTAAAATTACATAACTGTGGTTATATATTAAAGGATTTCATTATCAATTCTAGATTGTTGAACAAGGAAGTTCTATTTTCTTCCTGTTCTAGCCAACAGCAGATCTCTTTTCCTCCACTTGCCTCACTTCATTTTAAAGCTCAGGCAACATTAAATTAGTAGCTTGGTATATTAAACCTCTGTCTCCAGTGGAGCCTGGATCTAGGTGCATGAACTGCCTCTCCTATTCTTACCTATGCCAAAAAAAAAAAAAGGCCAGGAGCTTTATTTAAATGTACTAACAAATTCCAAATTATCTTTAATTTTGCAGGCAGCCTGATTTGGGATTCTAGTCTTCATCTCTTTCCAGAAAAGTTCAAATGTAGTTTATAGTTTGAAAATTATCTTTATATATGGCAAGCTTCAACGAGGTGTGGGGATTTTTCTCCATTTTCATCGCTCACATATCCCTCTCCTAAAAAAGCAAATTTGGCTAGTGTGTGAAAATTATATCTGTGTAGCCACCCGGGGTTGGAAAGTCCACCACATTATCATTCTCCACAGACACGCATGGATTTCCTGTGCCCTGCCCAGTTTAGCTAGGCTTAAAAAAAAAATGTTGATAGGACCAGTATTTATAGAGGTCATCTCTCTTTTCTTTCCACTCTCCTGTTCTATAGGTCAGATTTTAACTGTAATAATCAGGCCAGTGTTATGTATGTTGCATCTCACTTACCTAATAATCCAGTGATGGAGAGTAGTTTTTGCATTTGCCCCTGAATGTAATGGAGGAAACAACTCCCTTAGATGTTCATTTTAGACTTGCTGGCAGGTGCAGAATTGTGCTTTCTCTCAGATTCAACCTTATTAAGATTTTTGTTCATGATCTTTAAATTGTCTGCACTCATGCCAAATCTCAGGGATAATTCCTTTTGTAATAACCTTTACCTTTTTATTCCAGCTCCCAGTTCTTTATGAAGTGCCATCCTTTTCTACAGTAAAGAAATGTTTAGGTTATGTTTCATAGATTGCATTCTCATCAAACTGTAGGACGAATGTAGGGAAGGAAATCCTTTGTAATTTCCTCCCTTCCCACCCCAAACACCCATAATTTGGCAGGGTCTTTATTAAGGGCAGCTCAGTGTCTACTGTTCTAATATATGAATAGTATATCAAACTGGATATGGGGTGAGGATTAGGATCTCATTTTGACTACCTCAAAACTGGTGTCAAAGATTCTCTCCTTTTCATGAACTCATCTGGACTTATAAATCTCCTTTTGATGTTATCTCTTTGGATTGAGCTGCATACCATGCAAATGTAATCTAATTAAAACAATATGTAATTCAATTTCAAACTGAATCCAAAATTCAGATTGAAATCAGAACATCAAGGACTCTAGCACCAAACATACCAGAAATCTGACAGAATGCATCTCTCCAGAATGTCATACTGTTTTTGCAAGTTTCATTCTATTATGTATTTGTGTGTCTGTGGAGGTTTGGGGTTTTTTTGAGGGGGGGGGATATTTGTTCATTTCATTTTTTAAAGTAATAGGCATTTCTGGATTGCCTACTATAGTCAATGGTTTCCAGAATTGGGTTTTGAATTTTGCATTCTCCAAAATAGCTTGATTTTGATTGGTCAGTATTTCAACACTTTCTTTTAAAATACATTGCTTGCTTGTATAAGATTTTCCTGATAATATTCTCTCAGGAAGTGGTCTAATAGAGGAACAAAAGATCTCTATTGATGGACAGAACTAATAGTAATGCATTTTAATGTACTTTGTCCCTCATTTTGCTTCTGCAAACATGAGTTGTCAGTAATGGTAATTCTATTAATAGAATTGCAAAACAAATAGCTAGAAATGTCCATCTGTTATAAGATCTCTTTTTTGGGAAAGAGGGCTATATTAATATCTACAGGTAGTCCCCAGTTTAAGAACAAGTTCCGTTCCCAAGGTCTATCCTTAAGTCAAATTTGGAACAGAATTATTGTATAATACTGTATAAGTAGTATAGTGTAATGAACTCAAACCATTGTGTATTTAACTCGTATCATTGTGTATTTAACTCAAATTTTGCTACAGTAGGCTCCATTCTTAACAATGGGTTGTGTGTAACCCGGTGTTCTTAACCCAGGGACTACCTGTATCTAACTTTTCCCCAGGAGCTCAAAGCAATGTACAGGGCAGTCTTTTAAATTTTACATCTTGTGAGGTAAGCTTGACTAAGAGACCATGATTGGCCAAAATCACTTGATGGGTTGAGAGGGAACTTGAATATTCCTGATTCCAAGTTCAGCACCTCAATCACTATGAGACTTCAGTACAAACTCCTTTGGGACCTTATATCTCATTTAAATGAAGACTAAAACTGAGGGGGCTCGTCTGTCTATTTGTCTACCTATCTGTTGTATTTTAATAGAAGTTTGTACCTTGGAGTGATGGGAGGGAAGCTGTATGGTAGTAATTATAATTTGTAGCTTAACAGACACAAAACTGCTATATTCTCTGGAAATTAAATGTTTAAAGTATATCTTGTGTATTAAAGATTGGATTATACATTAAACACCAGCAAGAAAGTCAGCAAACAAAACCTTTTTTTACCTTCTGATATTATCCTGACTACATTGCCCTGATAATTATGAAGTGACTTGGCAACTATCAAATAAAAGATATGAAAGTTTGGAAAGTTCATTGATATGCTTACCTCCTCATGGCAGGAGAATAGCTAGCAATTATTTTTTCAGGACAGTCCAGACTAAGGAACTTCAAGCTTTTATTTCATTGTCAGTTACACATACATCTCTTTTCTCTTTGTACAGGTTCCCATGATTCTGGTTGGCAATAAATGTGATCTGGAAGATGAACGAGTAGTTGGCAAAGAACAGGGACAGAATTTAGCAAGACAGTGGTGTAACTGTGCCTTTCTAGAATCATCTGCAAAGTCTAAAATCAATGTTAACGAGGTAACAATTGGTTGATTTTTCAGAAGGCATTGTGTCAACTGGCTTGTAAACATGAGAAAGCGTTGTATATCTTCTCTTTATATTTCCTATTATATATCTCTTATTTGTGTAGTACTAGACAACCCATGACCTGCTGGGTCATCATTTCAGAAATATTTCCTTACCTAAACAGAGAAACAGAATGACCAAGCAGTCGGAGTATGAGCAACTTGCAACTTGCTGGTGGGTTCCCCATTGACTTTGCCTGTGGGAAACTGGCAGGGAGTGTCAGAAATCTCTTTCCCTCCCTCACATATAATATAGGCTTGAGCCATTTGCCTTCCCCTCACGACCCTCAGGAAAGCCCCTGTGAAGCCTCCTCCTCAACTGACCCACAGAACTGCCTGCCACTTTGTTGGGGGGAGGTGGAACAAAGGGAGCCATGGACCATGAGGAAATGCACCCTGCTCCCCATTCTGGTGAGTCCCCAAGGGCCCCCTCAAGGGAGGAAGAGGGCTCCTCTGTTGACCACCAGCGTCCCCCAGTCAGCCTGACCTCATTAGCAGGCATCCAGGTCACTCCCTCATCTTTCCCTCAGTGCCCACAGCCGTTAAGATATTTCAAATTTTGGCCTCAGTTCCAAAGCAGCCAATCACTGCTTGCCCATCGGGCCTTGCTGCCAGCTGATTGGACACAGGCCAGAGGGAGGTGGGAAAGAGGTTGGGGATTCCTCCCTCCCTCCCTCCCTCCCTCTCCACATATAATATAGGCTTGTGCCATTTGCTCTCCCCTCACAAACCTCATGAGAGCCCTGGTGAAGCTGCCATCTCTTCTTCCTCCTCAGCTGACCAGCAGAACTGCCTGCCACTTTGCTGGGAGAGGTGGGGCAAAGGAAGCTGCGGACCATAGGAAAACTGCACCACCACTCCCCATTCCAGCCTGTCCTCAATGGCCCCCTCCCTCGTGGGAGGAAGAGGGCTCACCTGTCAACCACCAACAACCCCCAGCCAGCCCTACCTCACCAACAGGCATCCAAATCACTCCCTCAACTCCCACAGCCGTTAAGAGATTTCAGATTTCTGCCTCATTTCCAAAGCAGCCAATCGCCACTTGGCTGCCGGGCCTTGCTGCCAGCTGACTGGGGTCAGGGGACAGAGGGAGCTGGGAAAGAGATTGGGGATATGCCCATGACAATCATGTGACCTGAGCTGACCACAGCAGTGCTGAAGCAGCCATAAATTTCCCAATTTTCAATCCCACGGGAGTCAGGGGCCCTGGATTTTGGACGCATTCTGTAAGTTAGCCCATTTGAGGTACCTTGGTTCAAAAATTGT